TCACTCCAAATAAATATGTATATAATGCTACGCCACGCATTTATTTTTTCCATTCATTTAGAGTTATCGATTTTCCTTCGCTCCTTCAACCCCCCTCCCCATCTATCACTCTGTCTTTCTCTTTTTCTTTCCCCCTCCTGTGTTCCTGTTTCTTGATCTCTCTGGTCCTGACTGTCTGTTGTTAAATCTGTTCCGTCGTTGGTCTCGCTGAATAGCCTGCATTTTGTACACCGCAGTTCTCGCTGATCCTTCACCGGTTCCTCTTCGTGCCTATTTCGCACTCCTCTTCGTTCCTCTCCATCCCCCGTTTTGTTGATTCTGTCTTGATGTCCCCGTCATATGCTCCCCCGCCGCAATTCTCCTCCCTCCGTCCCTCGTCCCCTTCCCTCCCTAACTCCCGCTCTCTCTACGCTGCTTCTATCACCCTGTCCCTCTCCTACTTTCCCCTCTCCTCTTCCTTTGCTCTCCGTCCTTCCTCGCCTTCTTTCTTCTCTTCGTTTTCCTGCTGCGTTCCTCTCTTTCCTCTTCTAGGACGCGAAAAACGAAATTAAAATTAAAAAAAGGACGGGAAGGAGAAGGAATAAAAATTATTCGGGTAGAGGGTGGAGGAAGGAACCTCTAAAGATATTTAAAAACTAAGAAAACGTTTAGGAGAGTTTTTAATTGTGTTGCTGAAAAAATTGGTTGGTAGTAGTGATTCTATTTATTTCCACTTACTCTGTCGTGTTTCACTTTTTTTTTCTTTACCACCATCTAACAGCAGCAGCTTATATATTTTTGATTTCTTTTGCAGTTTTCAAGAATCAAAAAATAAAAGTAAAATTGTTTCTTACTCTGCTTTAAAGGTTGGTTCAGAGAGAAGTGAGCCACTCCTCCGCTCTTCCGCTTACTACCCTAAACCTAGAAGAAATTTTGCAGAAATAATAAATTTTGCTAAGTGAAGCTTAGAAGCGTTGCTGTTGTTTGCTTCTACTTGTTGCCGTTTTTTGACACTATTAGGTTCCGTAATCGTTCCAGGATTTTATCTTACTTCTATATTTTCACGCTTAGTTCTTCTGAAAGGTTTGCATTTTTTTTTGCGCTAAATCCATTAGCTCTCCCTCTTGTGTTTACCTCCATTTCACCCTTTAAAATGAGTTATTCTTATTAAACAAGTTCATTTTTAATTGCCGTTGTCAGTTTTTTTTTTTTTTTTGTTGCAGCTATTAGACTGCTCCTGCCTACTTTTTTTAGCAATATTTTTTATTATAGTTCATTTTTGGGAGGGATATGGGTGAGGCAACTGAAATGGGATTTTGTTGTCTAGAGAGAAAATTGACATGTTCTAGTTGGTCGAAATAAAGTTGTTGCTGTTTTTGTTATCCTTCGACAGGATACCTTTGTTATCTTTCGACAGGATACCTTTGAACGTTCTTAGAAATGTGTGAAATACGGCGTTTCTCTTTTTTTATGCAGCAGTATTGGTAAGTTGGTTTCATGTCGTCTTGATTTTTCTATGAAATTTTGGATTTTTTTCGGTCCCTTAAGTAGCATTAATTGAAAGAGAAAGGAGAATGGTGAAGGGAGCAAAAAAGGACAACGGTTACCAAATTGCATTTTGAGGAGGACTGCGATGATTCTGTCGTTATTCGGTTTTGGTCCATAAGCTTGCCCACCATTTTACTTCCACCCTTTAACCCACCTCCCTCTCCTTACTCGGGTAATAACTGAGCTTCTTTTTCGTATTGAAAACAGTATTCACTATCCATAGTCTTTACAAAGATCCTTATCTTAAAGTTGTTCAAAACTAACACTTAAGCTTTTATATCTGCAAACTGCAGAACCATTTTGTTGACAGTGATGATGATGATGATGGCACATCGTTTGTTAGTTTGCTCATTCGTTCAAAAAAAAAAAATTTCTGTTTTCTCAGTTAACATATCCAACTGGTCATCGTTTATGCCGATATTTTTATTGCGGTGAGGTCAGAGGCGATGGCAGCAGCAGCGACGAGAACGACGCTATTCTTCATCTACTGTATTTTATATGATGACTATAAGGAGCAATAAGAAAGCGCTTTTAGAATTAGAGTGAACTCAGCAAAGAAGAAACTTTAGGTTCTCTTTTAAAGTTAGGTATCAAATCGTCGTAAGATAATTTCTGCTGTGGATTTAAAATGGAAAAAAAAGGAGTAGTAAGAACGAGAGAAACTACGACGGTATTGGTTGAGACAATCTGTTTGCAATTGTTGATGTCGTCGCCGTCGCTGTTGCGGCAGCTGCGGCGATAGTGAGAGTGGCCGCGGTTGTTGAAGCTTACGATGCTTTTGTCACTGACTGCTGTAATTCTAGCTGTGGTCGGCTACTATTTGTTGGTGTTGCTTTGTGTAATGGTTTGAGTACTGAGAATATGAGAATGAGAAAAGGCAAGTTGAAGGCAGAAAGAGAATATGGAGCATTTTTTAGCGCCTTTAAGCGTGTGGTCCTCACCTTTTAGAACCCATCGTGATCGTTGTCATCGTCGGTGTCGCCGCTGCCGTCGTCGTTGTTGTTCAAACCAAAAAGGCGCGATTTTGTGCTCAGTTAAAAATTGATCATAATTTACAATACTTACTCTTTTTTGCAGCCCTGTGTCTTGGACCTCTGTAAGGTCTCTTCAACAACAGGCGTTCTTTTTACGTTTTGTTTGTATCTGTGTGCCAGTAATATATTCAGTTGGTTATCTCGTATGTTTGTGTGTTTCTGCCCTATGCCTGGATGTGTGTTGTCGTTCGGTGAAAAAAAATGAGAGTAAAAAAAAAACAAGGGAGAGAAAGTTTTTTTTTTCTGTCTCCCTGCCTAACGTGTCTTTTCTCCCATAGCTCGGTCAATCATTCATTTTTTTATTTTTCTTTTATTTCTTTACTTAACTATCTATAGTTCTTTATATCTGTAGATTTAAACATTTACATACAAATTTTTTCCGCTATTTGTTTATTTTGCCGTTCAGTTAAACCTGGGTTTCTTGTCTTTTAAAAGATAGGTTTGAAAGGAGAGCATGGAGAAGGAGTTTAAAATAGAAAAAAATAGAATCCGACTTAAGTCTTGTGAAGATCATTATTAGTGTTTCTTTGGTTAGGTGTTGCTGTTATTACATTGTTGTTCAGAGTATATCAAATTGTAATTAAACGCTGGAAGTAGGAATGTAAGGATATAAATTTGTATAGACGTCGTTGGGTGGATTAATATCTATGCATAGGTTTGGTAAATTTACTAGTAATAAAGGAATCTTCAGTCGCCACCCGGATGATATGTAGGAATGGGTGGGAAAGTTTGGTAGATGCATACAATCGAATAATAGGAATTTAAAGCAGTAAGTAATCAGTAAGTAGTTTTTTTAAGCTGTTGCTTAGTATTCATCTGCCTTTTATTTTTGTGTGTTTTTCTATCTTTTTTTGCCCTTTTCTTTATGTTTTTTTACATCACCACTGGTAAAATATCAATATTTTGTGTGTTTTGCTTCTTCAGAAGGGAGAAGAAAAAACTGATTATGTGTTTCTATTTTTATTTTTATTCTTTTGAAATGTATATGATTTTGTTTTTTTTTTTTTTGTTTTTCAATCATCAGTCTGTGATTTAAGTATTTTTTCTATTTTGATATGTGCTATTGGTCGTTCTCTATATTTTGTTGTTGTTCAAAAGAACGGGAGGAGAAATATTGCTTCTTTGTCGTTGTCTTTTACTGAGAGTTCCTTTTCCCTCTTCTGTTTCCTTTTAGTAGCGATTTGAAATGAGTGAAAGAAGTTTGGGGTAGTACTCTTTTCTTGACGTGCTCGTTGTAGGTAAAATGGCCAGTCAGTTTTTTATAGCCTACTTTCTGTCTTACAACCTTTTTTAGGCTTATCTTTTTTTTCCTCAAAGATTTGACCGTTTTTTATCAGTCAAAGATGTTCTCATAATGATATCGATTGTCATGGTCTTTTTACAACTTATTCTGGAGGCTGTTTGGCTGATGGTTATTGGAATGTGAATGAAATGTTTTGTTAGAGAGGCCACTTGTTTAGGTACAAGATTAGGAGAGTTTGGAAGCAATTTTTTCCAACTCAAGAAATTCTTTAAGTCGTACGTCATGTTTTTTTTTAAAAACATCGAATTTTGTACAATCAATAAAGCATCCTGAAACCTTACGTAACTTGCGTTTTTCATTGTCATGTCACGTCTTTATGCAAATAATTTTTAATGGTTTTTTCAATGCCTTTTCTTCCACAGATCTCAGAATTATTTCCTGGTAGATAACTGAAGATGTCAGACGTGGAAATGGATGAAAGTAATGCTGCATCAGATCGAGGTACGCTGTTTGTTACAGAGTATTACACTTTTATAATTGGTGAAAGAATCCTAAATGGGCTTCTCTCTTTCTGTGCAAGTTTGTAGTTTTTTTCTGATCTATGATTAAGGAGCCTTTTCCAGAAGATGCAATGGAAGAGGATTCTGTTGTTAGCAATGAAGCCGATGGAGGGGAAGAAGAGGCTGAAGGTGACGGGGCCATAGCGGACGACGGTAATACATTTCAAACCTTCCTAATTACTTTTTTCTGGAATATATTGCCTTTTGCAAAGTTTACAATTTTTTTTAGCTGGTGCCACTGCAGATAGTTCTCGTTCAAAGAGGAGAAGCCGTAGTAAAAGAAACAAGAATAGACGGAATAAAAAGCAAGAAACAACTCCTGATCCAAATGCCTCTGCAGCACAGCTCTGCGAGCTTTTCGGGATGAACGACGTTGATCTCAACTTCACTGAAGACGATTATAACACCATTACAAATGCAAAAGTAATAATTCTCTTCTGGAAAATATGAAGTTATTCATTGTACTGTAAATGTGGCCATTTTTAAATGTGATCTTATAGACATTTTCTGCACGTGTTCGGCCACTTATTCAAGCAGCAAACCCTAAAGTTCTTTCCGTCAAAATACAACAGCTGTTATCTGCCAAGTACAGGGAATATCAGGTGGTTGAAATTTGGTATCAAGACTGAACTGTTAAATTTAGTTGATTGTTGAAACTGTTATAAAGTTTCGCTATTTCTTGAACCTATTTCTTATCTATCTTCATTTTATTGCAATTTAGTCTGATTTTTGTAATCTTTATTGCTTTATGCCGGAATAATAGCTTTTTACTGTAGGAACAAATGGCTGCGCAAGGGCGACTAATAGGGTCTCAGGCAGCGAAGAAGCAAAGGACATCTAATACCGGTGAGAAGGTTGTAGCCCCGATCAAAATTAGAATAAGCGCGCGAAAGAAAAAACGGAATGACGATGACGATGATGACAACCGTTTGTTTTTCTTTGTAGTATTCTCGTTAAAGGCCTCGGCTGCATTTGTTCGTTTCATATATTTCTATTTACAGTTAGTCTTATGCTTTTTTCAGCGGATAGTGATCAAGAATTTGAGCATCTCCTTAAGGAGCACGAGAAGCAACTTGATGAGGAAGAAAGGGAGAAGGAAGAGAGAAAGGCTCGACGTTCCGCTTCAAAGAAAAACGCCAAAAGGAAGAAGAAGGGCGAAGAAGGATACGAGGTTTTATATTTATTGAAAAAGCTGTTGAATTTCCTTCCGTTTTCTTTAACTTTTTTCTAGCCTCTTTTGAATGCACCTGTCAAGACCGCAATAAGCACCTATTTATATTTTATTTAGAGTGAGCATCAAGATTATTGTGAGTCCTGCCAACAACCAGGTGAACTTCTTCTGTGCGACACATGTCCTAAAGCATATCATACTTCTTGCTTGGATCCTGAGTTAGAAGAGCCTCCTGAAGGACATTGGTCCTGTCCTAGTTGTGAAGCTAGCGGAGTGCAATATGAAGAAAAAGAGGAGGAAAAGAAACCTACGAATAAGGAGGAGTGTCGAGTTTGCAAGGTAGTGTATTTGAATGAGCAGGAGAAGTTCCTAGTTCTTTCTTTACCTTTTAATTTTATCTTGCAGCTTCCGGAAAATCTATTGTACTGCTCGACATGTCCTTGTTCATATCACAACTGGTGTCTTCCGGCACCACTTGAAGAGCACCCAGGGGACGACTGGAGTTGTCCTCGATGTCTTTGTGCAGAGCCTAAAAATCGCCCAGAAAAAGTTTTGTCGTGGCGCTTTGTTGATATCAAAATGCCTGAGCCAATGACAGAGGAGGAAGCGAAGGTTCAAAATCTTAGCGTTTGTGTTACATTTTCAATGGAAGTCAGTGCCTGTAAAGAATTGCATTATTGTGTGGGTTGTTTCAGGAGTTCCAAGCTAAGGAAGGTCGGAAGTGTGCTATGAGACCGCTCCAAAAACTTTCCAACCGGAGAGAACGAGAATTGTTTGTGAAATGGAAATACATGAGTTACTGGCACTGTGAATGGGTTAATGAGATGGTGTTAGATGTCCATTTTCCTCAAGTTAGCATAAAGTTATTTTCTACCTTGCGTAATTTTATGCTGTCGCAGTCTTGAAAA